GGTGAAGCCCTTGATCTGGTCTCCAGAGAGTGTGATTCACTTGGTTTCCTTCTTTCAACTGCGAAACAAAGGCATGTGGCACGGTCGTGTTGTACCCACCCTTCTTATGAGGAACGCCCTTGACTGGGTTAATGAGCAAAAATACCTGGGTGGTAACTCGCACACGTTGTCAGATCCCTGAAGTCCGCTACTTCGAGACATATGTTTCGGAGTCTCACCATGTATTCCCTGTGCCACCAACACCCTTGCATTTCACCATGTACAAGTCCTTGTCCATTCCTGTGTTGACTACGCACCCCTGCCCTCGTCAACATTAGTCGGACTGCTGTCAACCGTCCCGAAGTTATCCAGAGGATAGCCATCATCCTTGGGCCCTAGTTGACAGGCTCTACTTCTCTCATATACCAAACTTTGTCTTTTCCCCTACAGGATCCTGTGAGTTTTACCTAAGAACTGCCATTTCCATTCTACGGGATCCTCGGGCACCATGTCAGCCAACTTGACTCCTGCTGTCCGAGGCCGACCTCCATCTAGAAGACATTAAGAGGGTCACTCATCTGAGCCCTTCAGGAACACGACCTGCCTGATATTGTTGTCACCCCTGCTGTTGGTTCGCTCTTCTCCTGGCTGCATTTTTCAACCTGAAGTGATTGCCCTTGGACCGCCCCGAAATCCCACGTGAACCCTGTTATTCTCTGCAAATACCACTTCCAGGATCGCCCACTGGTCCCCAGGTATGGTCGTCCTCTACACTGATGGTTCTGTTGACCCTGCTACAGGTCGGGCCGGGCTGGTGTCTACATCTCCGCCCTGATGCCCCTGCGCCTATCAACTGTTTCTCAGAGTTTTGACTGGGCATCCTCCACACAGGTTGAACTAATAGCCCTTTTGCTGCCCTTCTCGCTGAGGAAGAAGAAGCAGATGGTTTCTGCCCTTGCTTGACTGCTGCGATTCCAGGTCTGCTCGACGGATCTCATTTGGATCAGGGAAAATAAGGACCTCATCCTCCGAATACGAGGGTTAACATCCATACTTCAGGATGCACTGTCCCACATTCCTATGGATACCTAGTCATGTCGGTATCTTGGGGAATGAGGCAGCAGATGGCTTTGCCAAGACTGGCTGCAACAAGACCACACCTGACTACGTTGTCCTCGAACACTTTACAGCTTAGGACCCCACCCGCCCTCAAACAGAGAGAAGCTCAGGAAGCAACCATCCCTGGACTCCCCGCCCACCTGGTACGATGTCCTCCGTAAACTTCCTGATCTCTCGTATGTCTAGGGTGCGGAAAGGGATGTGATTGGTGCCCGTATCATCATTGGGTATGACTTGCTTGGGATTGGCACATCACCTGAGCAACGCTATTGTGCATTATGCAGAAGACCCGACAGCTGCACCCTATCCACTACCTCCTAAGATGTCCCCACACACAACGCTCTCCAGGACGCCTGCTGGACCCCACACTACAAGACCCCTGACAGAGACACGATGATCCTCCCCATACTGGCCAGATATTATGTAAATAACATTGATTATGTGTTGAAGGAATATCCTTCCTTCCTTAGGCTTTAGTAAGCCCTTTATAATATTTATACTGTATATACTTGTCACACTTGCCAGATGCTTGGTGTTATTGAACAGGGCACGAGTGACAGCACAAGGATCCCGCTTCTCTATCAAGGAATAAACAATTGAAATTGAATTGAAATAAAATAAACAGCGGTGTTTGTTGGTACCACAGTAACAAAACAAAAACAGTGGAACAGGCGATTCTACCGGGGGAAAGTACAGTGAATATGTTCCTTCAGTCTGCCCTCAAATGTTTTTTCCTTCACTAACACTGGTCAATAACGCTCCTAAACAAAGGAAGAAGGAATGATAGTGATTAAGGAAAACTGAAAATTGTAGATGTTAACATAACAACGAAGTGTAAAGAATAGTAAATTAATTGTTTACATAATTACGATTTTTGTTATTATAGATTTAAATGTTGATGTATAAGGAGTTTGAATGTTTATCTGCAAACATAACTCGAGATAGTGTGGGGTATGAGATGTTGGGTTCACACTCAGAATGTTCTAAGCCCACACAAACTTTCTGCAGCCCTTCACATTATGCTTGGTTCTTTATTTCCCTAAATAGCTTGGCAACGACCACAAATATTTGCATGGAGGAATGTGTAGCTTCTGGCATGTCATTTATGAAACAAACAAACAACAACGGGCCCAATACACTGTCCTGTGGTACCTCGCTTGTCACGGGTACACATGACGATTTTGTACCATTAATCACCACACACTGCTTGCATTCATGAAGAAAGTCTCCAATCCATGCAAGGACACTTCCCCGAATCCCACACCCTTTCAGTTTAATTTCCAGCCTTTCATGGGGTACACTGCCAAAAGTCTTGGCAAAATCTGGGTACATATTGTCGATATTGCCATTAATTTCGTATTAGCAATTTCCTAAAGTCACAATTTTAGCATACTAGTATGTATAACTTAGTTTATTTCAGGGGTAAATATATAAGAGGCAAAAATATCCATAATAAAACTTGCTCCCGTAATTATTTAGATCGTAACCGTCAGCTGTTTTTCATTGAGAGTGGGTTTAAAAATACCCAATTTGGTCAAATCTCACTGATGCACCGGGTATCTGTTTGGATATAAGAAAATATGTTTTTCTGATGTTATTTGATGAGTTTCGAACGAATTTGATATTTATTTCAGCCGGAAATCAATAGTTTTTGAGATCCCCACCCCCCCCTTCCATCAATCTTAACAAAAACAATTATTTTCGAGTAAATCACAAACAAAATACCAACCAACCAACAAAACAAAACCTAACCTAACCTAACCTAACCTGACTTGACCTGATCTGACCTAACCCTATTTTTCTGATGAAACAATGCAATTGACGTAAAATGATCTCTATAACAATGTCGGCACAGCTCTTTCCACCTGTTCAGCCATATCTGGTTATAATGGTACTGAAAAATCAAATATCCGCTCCCGACGCACCCACGTATTGTTCATTGACTATGAGAAAAAACTCTTGCCCAATTATATAAGTCAACTATCGCTACAGCCAATAAGAAACTCCCCCCCCCCCCACACACACATGCGCTGTAGACGCTTACGAAGCCAACACTGAGATAAGGAGCACTGAGTGATGGGTGGTCAGACCTTCTCTGTGAGACGTAAACAACAAATGGCAACAAGTGGCCAAATCCAATAATATTGAAAAATTAATATCTCGGTTATCCTTAATTTCCGGCGGAAATATCATAGAAGAAAAAGGTCTTAGAATTGACTAAATATTACGAAAAGCATATTAATAACAGTGAGAGAAAGACCGGTGCATGACTGAAATTTCACCCCCAAATTTCACTGATTACATTAAGGAATAGTGTATTATGGTGGGGAAAAATACTAAAATGGGTGAAATCATGTGCTAACCTAACCTAACGAAACCTAAGAAAACCTGACCTGACTTAACCTATATCTTAACTCGCCTATACATAGAAAACTAAGCATTTGCACAAGAAATTTAATAGAAGGAAAGACATAATCAGTGTACAAAACTGTGGTATAACTGCAGTTTCGGTCAATATGGATCTCGATTTGAGCAATGTGTTTTTCCAATTGTTTAGATAATTTTAAGACACTTCTTTTATAACGTATCCCTCGCAAATTACTTAAATATACCGGAATAATCATAGAAGAAATGTGTCATAAAATTGTCTAAGCAATCGGAAAACACATTGGTCAACTACAAGGGGTATTGTCCAAACTGCAGCTTTACCAGAACTCTCTTAAAAAAAAATCATAATTACTTAACCACTGACGGTCACCAGACTCACCAGCCGTATATTTGCCTTTATTGCTTTATTAACTTTAGATAATTAGTTACTAGAATTAAAATAAGAACATACCTGCATCTGCTGTTTCCCATACACAGGTAACGTGGTACTGTAGTTGTGTATAATTTATAACTGACAAATGTGACAGCTTCGCTACCAGGTAAATTTGTTTGTTTACTAATAGTCTAGTTTCCGAGCGTGTGCAGTTACTTTACCTTTATCGCATTTTACCCTCTATTAACAAGGCTATTTAATATTAACTCATTAATTCTATCTAAGAATAACAGAATACTTTTCATATCAATAAAATGTTTGACTCAGAAAATCTTAGCTGGAAAAATATAAACGAATTACTTCCCGGACCCTTAACTCGTGATAGATATTAACGTACATTAATGTATATGCAACGGTACAGTGCCTAGTACATGATATATTACATTAATAGTACAGTACTGTTAATCATAGGACCACAGCATGATAGGACTAGACATAACGGGAACTACATAACGGAACACACATGATAAGACCGCAAAATAACGGGAATGTAACATGCTAGGAACAATAACTGGAACACAACATGATAGGACCACAGCATAACAGAACACAACATGATAGGACCGCAACATATAACAGGAACAGCATGATAGGACCAAAACATAACGGGAACACAACGTGATAGGTCCACAGCATAACGGAACACAACATCATACAACCATAACATGATAGGTCCACAACATAACGCAAACACAACATGATAGGACCCTAACATGACGGGAACACATAATACGACCACAGCATAACGGAACCACAACATGATAGGACCACAACATAACGGAACCATAACATGACAAGACCCTAACATGATAGGGCCCTAACATGACAGGGTCCTAACATGACAGGGCCCTAACATGACAGAGCCCTTACTTGACAGGACCCACAGACCTCCTTATATGAAGCAAAATTCCTTGGTACGAGAAAAATGGCCACAGAAGGAAGCAGCCCCACCACCACCACCATAATCCGCCCCTAACATCACTTAGAGGGCCTTGTGGGTGCGTGAGGTGGGACTCCCCGGGGGTATTTTTGGCCTGACGGGGGCGACTGTGAGAGTGAGGGGCACCATCCCAATCCCCAGTGCCAAGGCGGCGCTGCGCAGTGCCAGCTTGGCTTTACCTGTGATGGGAGCCACGTCCTCTCCCTTCCCTCAGGCGTCCTATTCAGGTGTTTATCCTGCAGCACCCACCCGCTGGGACCAGGTGAGTGTGGTCCTCTGCTCCCGGAGTGTGTTGTGAGCGACGCTGTTTACCCGATGTTGTACATACGCAGGTGGCTGCCACTCACAAACTCTCATCTTAAGCACTGTACAACTAACGGTGGTTGATCCTGGGTTTAGGGTCGACTCTTCAGGATCAGTGAGCTCAGGATCAGCGAGTGACGTTAACGCTTCCATATTAGGAGCGGTGGGAGGAAGGGAGCGAGTTGGGTGTTATTGGGTGGTGGCAGGGCGCGGGCCTCCTGCCACCCCAACTCTCGCCACCACGCATGGCGATACTTTGAGAGTCTCATATATTATTACGTATGAATCGTAAGAGAAGGGTGGTTTTTTATTAGTCCTGCCATGCACTTAAATCGGAAGGGAAATCAATTTACGTTATTTACCAATATGCTTATGTATTAATACCCACTAGTGTGACAACAATAACGGGTCATGTGTTGACAAACCAGATTTGACAGAATGACTGACATTACGGTATTTTCCCTTATAAGTATGTGACGCACCACACAGGTGTTGCTGTCATGTCAATGACATTGGAATTCATGCTATGCGGGGAAGCCCTCGGTGACTGTCGTAGACAAGAGTTAAGTGGGTCGCAGAATATAACAGAAAGCCCATCCTTCATCGCAGCGCCCACTCATCCTAAAATGTTTTCCATTCGCTTTCCCGCGAGAAGGTTCCGAGTAGAGATCACGATGTTTGCGTGTGCTGTACCCCCCACCCCCACCCCCCCTTCCCTAACCCTGGTGTGCGTGTCACCCGTGCCAGAGTCGGTGACCCTCTGACTGGACATGCACATTCTCTGCAGGAGTAACAATGACAATTAAACACAACACGACACTATGAACTAAGACTCAAAAATTATCACCTGATGAAAAAAATACTATTCTGGTTAAAACTGAGAAATAAATCATGTTCCCGACACTGTCGTGTACAATGACTCAACGTGTGGGTTAAACACTTTTGTTAGAGACATTTGTTTATGGTGAGTTTAGTGGTAAAAGGTTCCGGTGTATAGTCAATAGCTAAAACAATCCGTGGATAAAATCATAAATATTTTTCTGTATATAATACGTGTGAGTAGCTTAATAAAAAAAATAAAACATATTTGTATAACCTTAATATTTAAATTACCTTAATATTTAAATTACCTAATGGATTGCGGTTACGGGAATATGAAACGAGTGTTTATATTGCTTTCGTAAGTACGTCATCCAGTGAGCAGTGCTTCGTACATATTTCCTCGACCTTTATTAATGAGGTCCCCACATTATTACCATAATAATATTTATATATACCGACTGTATACTACAGGTATATTCACCGTCACCGTATGAACAAAAGCATATCCATGTTAATCAATAAGTCATGCCTACAAAGTTTTAATGGACATAATTCTAAGTAGAATAAAAGCTCAGAACAGAAAGTGGGTTATCTGAAGAGCAAGGTGGATTTAAAATGGAAAGGGAACTAGAGAAGCTATATTTGGTTTGAGAATTTTGCGTGAAAGGGCTATACTCGTACATTAGAGGCCCAAGGAAATTTGTACATCTACTCTGTTGATTTTGAAAAAGCTTTTGATAAGGGTAAAGCACAACAAACTTATGGATATCTGGTGAAAATGGGCATTGACGAAAGACATATTAGAATTTTAAAGAACCTTTACTGGCAACAGGAAGTTGCAGTGTTAGTTATAATAAACAAGAAACTGTATAGTCCCACGGCCTATGTATTCGTACACCGTATACAGTACCTATATTGATTATATTCATGCCGAACTGTATAACCCCACAGTTTATAAACATGAAAAAATTTTACTGAATGAACATCATCATCATCATCATCCTCTACAGTACGAACGCAAACTTCTTCATCAGTTGAGAACAACATGAGCCCATGTGTCAAAAGACTGGCTCAGCCAATCAGGTTCGATCACTGAATTGATCGAACTCTATCAACGACTCTGCTGGAGGTGAAAGATGTGGAGTTTTGGGTGAGGTGTTGACAGTGGCTGATGCGGCTCACTGTACCTGTCACCACTTGTATTGTGCAAGAACTATGTCTAACCTCAGATATTGTATTTGTGTAACTTGCTTATTATTTCTACTCATTATATATATATATATATATATATATATATATATATATATATATATATATATATATATATATATATATATATATATATATATATATATATATATATATATAAAGCTTTGCTCCGAATGGCATTTACAAAACACAATAAAAATGGCCACATGTGATGTACCGTAGGTGCTGAAGAGCCAGCAACGTGGCGTGGTGGGGCGGGGACACTAGGCGGTGGACGTGAGTAACCCACAGAGTGCTGGGTTTGGCACCTTCGTCGCCTTTGTGTGTGACCTTGTTTCCTCCCCAGCGTGTCTTCCTGGGTCTCCCCCGTCAAAGACAAGACAAGAATCACCAGACACAGTAACAGCCTAGTGGTGAACTGTCTGACGCAAAAACACGCGTGATCATCATAGGCAGGAGCCACCCTGACACAATACAGTACCAGACGGTGATGAAGTGTCTGACGCGGTAATGGCCGGAGAAAATGTGTCCGAGAGACATTGGTGGCAGCAAAAACAAGTGGAGAGTGATGGCTTAAGACCCAGGTGCTGGGGAGGACCTCTGTACTCTCAGCTGTTGGGGATGTTGGTAGTAATAATGTCGTCAGGTGCAGCAACAACCTCTCTCGGCCACGTCGCCTGCTGCCATATTTACCCGCAGGGGTGGTGGTGGCGGGGGTGAGTGGGTAGGTGAGGAGGATGAAATGTATGACACCACCACCACCACTACCACATCACTTCATGCGCCACCATTACCTCCACCACACCATGCTATCCACGCCAATGATGCCTAACTAACGCCAACAGCGCCATACAATGTTACCCCCAATACCCACACACACTATACCACCTCATCCACCACTCACTACCCCCTCCAGGAAGGCATATTAGTTCCGGAGTCTAGCATTGTTGAGGGGACTTATCTTGTTCCACTGTAGTTCTTGAAACTATGGGCATAAACGTAAAGAGACTTTATTCAGGCGTGAAATTCTCCGATGACTTGCTTCGTCTAAAACCACAAGCCGTCGCTTTAATTACTAAGGTCATAAAGCGAGTATTCTAAATTATTAAACACTATTCACCAACATTAAGGGAGATATATCTATCTACTCTGTGTCACCGTTGACGAATGACGATGTTGACGTTATAAGTAATCCTGCGATTCATCTCGCACTCGTCCTCAACACATTAAAGTCGCGAGAGAAAGAGTGATAGATTGTTGCTGGCTTGATGAATGTTTTCCTAATGAGGACATCGCGGCCGGCCACCCGGCGTTGTAGGTTGAGTTGTGTGGACGCGGGAAGAAAACAGCGTAGAAATTGAAGTTACCTTGCCATTTGAGTGGAGGATTCTTTGTATTAACATAAGTATTTGGAATAATGCCAATAGATTGTGGTAGAGCAGCACTCTGAAAGTCTTTGAACTTTAGTACTCTCTCCTGATTGGCTTTCCCGGGAAAAATAACTCAAATTTTTTTAAAATATACATCCGCATATCAGATAATATCCTTTTGTACAAACTTTTAAGCATATGATCATGGGTGGTATTTTTTCCTGAATATTTCAAGAAAGTGAATTTCTTAAAGCGTTAAAATGGGCTTTAGTCATATATTAATAAAAACAAATGTACAATCACCCAAAAAAGTCCTGTTGCGAACCACGATTCAGACTCGTGAACCCGAAGCAGTAGACACTGATACATTATTCTGTCCATAAATGCTTCGGATTCAAGAGTCTGAATCTCGGGGTTCATGGTTCGCGACAGGACTTTTCTGGGTGACTGTACATAATATGGAAAATTTATTCTTTATTTACCTATGTAGTACATCATTGTAGAGAGGTTTTTCCTGTTGCCCCCTCCTCCTCATAATGCTCTACACCTCCGATTACTTTTTTTTTTTTTTTACCTTTATCTTCTTCACCACTGATCTGCTCGTTAGCCGCCTGGGCGATCGGTCACGTCTCTGTTACGCACTGTTGGCAAGCACTGGGCATGCACCGGCTCCTGAGTGTATCTGAATCTGCTCCAGTGCTTGTCAAGTCTGGTCGTGAAAGAGCTCACACTCAGCGCCATCACAACACTTTATGGCAGATTGTTCCAAGAGTTCACAGCTTTCACTGCGAAAAAGTTACCTCTCACAGTTTTCTGGACTAGCGGCTTCTTCAACCTTGAGCTGTGACCCCTTGTGGAGCGAGCGTCCGCCAGCTCCATGTAAGGC